CCAGGGCTGTAGTGCAAACAGAATTTTAGTTAGAAGACCTAGGTTTGAATGTTCCCTCTGTTACTTAAAGGCTGTGTGACCTTAGGCAAGTCCCTTGGCATCTCTGGTCCTCAGTTTCCTCATTTGTAAAAAGAAGGGAGTGGACTAGATCCTCCTTAACATCTCCTCCAGCCTTAATCCTGTGATTCATTATGCACAGGCTATCTGAGGAAGCCCTTGACCCCATTTGAATTTGGGTCTGTACTACACAACCCATGTAACCTCGAATTTCACAGGTTTGCCAGTTGCTTTAACAAGCCATTAAACGAGGCTCTCAGGAAGTGAAGGGCTTCAAAAGGAGTTTCCAAAGCCTAGTGGACTTGGTGGCGCCTCCTGCACTCACAGCTGTTTTATTTATTGAGATGAATAAATTGCTTTGAGCATTTCCTGATGTTTTCTTCCTTTTCATTCTTGTCGGTCTTATTTCTGCTGCAGAAGAAGCTATTATGGAGGAAACTGGGCCAGTTTCAGCTTTTCAGGATTATTGTCCTGGATAAAGGAGTATCAGGTAAAGTTCTGCTGTGATTTTTGTTTTGTTTTGGCCATTTTAACATGATATGCATGCCAGATCATGAATCTTACCTGTTACTGTGGGGTCTGTCTTGTTCTTCGTTGTACCAAACGTTTTGTATGTTTAGTTGACTTCTATTCCAGAATTACTCTAGTTGTTTTGAATTTCCAGCCCTCACCTTTACAGAATCACCTTTACAGAATCTGGCTGTAAAGTGAATTCCTATAAAAACAAGGCCCCTCTTCCCACTTGCTTCCAGTGTCAAGTTGAAATGACTTGAGGAAAAGAATCCCTCTGTAGTTTGAATTGAAAGCTTTGCTGAGGAAGGAAGAGAAAGCGATAAGCAGATTCCTGACATGTTGAGTTCCCATTGTAGGAAGGCTTTTGTAGCAGTTTTAGAAGTTGAAAGTTCTGGTTTGATTCTGGAATTTGTTGACAGAGGTGCCCTAACTCCCCAGACCATCGGTATTTTTCTTGTGTCTGAGGAATCCATGACTCCACGCTCAGAGTTCTCCTAATGTAACCTGTGACCTTTTGTGTGAGAGTTTGTAGTATCTAATAGGTTGCAGTGGCATACTTCATTCAATAAGAGTGGCTGCCATCCAACATAGGGTTGACTCTAGTCCAGGCAGTTCTGAAGTTAAAGGCTACACATTCTATAATATGAATTAGTTCCTTGCTTTATCAATTCTCTAATTTAGCATTTTGCAAAAGAAATTTGTTTGAGGTAGTTAGGTGGCGCAGTGGATAGAGCACTGATACTGGAGTCAGGAGGACCTGAGTTCAAATCCAGCCTCAGACACATAAATCACTAGCTGTGTGCCTCTGGGCAAGTCCCTTAACCCCAATTATCTCACCCACCCCACCCCCCCAAAAAAAAGGGAAAAAAAAAGAAATTTGTTTACATCAGAAACTATGATTTATAGGTTTCAATTTTTAGTTGTTTTTTAATTTAGGGAATCTTGTCCATTTTTCCAAAATGCTAATTCTCACAGATTCAGCAGTGTTGAACCATTCAGTCAGTGCTTTCTCATGTCTCAGTTGTTTACAAAGTATTATATTTAAACATTAAATCCTTAAGAATATATGATGCTTTTTGAGCTTTTGCTGAGAAAAGTCATATAAATTAGGTGTATTACTTGTTTCTGTATTGGTTAACCTTTAGATTATAAAATAATCTGAAATTAGGTATTATAGTACTTGATATACTCAGATACTGTCTCTGACATTTGTGCTTTTCAAAGTAATTTCTCTTGTTGTGGCGTTTAATCTGTCACATGACCAGTATTCAGAAGTCCAAATAGATAATTTCTAGTTTCTCAAACTGTATTAAAATTTAGTACTGTTGTGTTTATTTTCTCTTCTGTTTTCATTCTAGACTATTTGTATGCACACACACAGTGTGTGTTTATATATACATACATACATACATACATACATACATACATACTGTATATATCTCCTTCAATTAAATTGGCTACCCCTGTCCCGTATAAACATTTCCAAGCCAATGTTTGTTGAATTTGAATGTATTATTTGTTTACCTATTCACTATAATTAAGAGCAGCTGTATACTGATAATTGTCAGGGATGGCCCTATGTCAGTCGAGATGGGTTGGATCACTTCTCTCAGCAGATTATGACTTTAATAATGTCTTTGCTTTGAGTGTGTCAGAACTGAATTCTGTCTGAATTCAACTTTAGCGAATGTGTTTGTGTATATATGTGTGTGTCTTGTGATAAACTTCTGAGAAATGATGGGACTGGGTGCTTACTTCCAGAAATTGAGAAACTTGGAATTAAAAAGTAGTTGATTTTGTGGGTACAGGTTTGGTTTGTTCCATTTGAATGAAAACGAATCAGAGTCCTTCATCTGTGTTGTTGTTTAGGAAGAGAGTGATGGGGATGAATGGGCAGCATGGCAAGAGCTGGTACTGGAAGCAGAAGAAGGCATTGCTCTTCGTAAGAAAGACCAGACCATCCAACACGTGGAAGTCATTTGTTATGCCAGGTATGACCAGTAATTGAAAGACAAGCATTTCTTAATCTTTCATTATAAAAGCAAGGCCTCGATTGTTATTATTTGAGCTATAATCATTTTCTTCCTCTTTCCATTGTATAAAAGAACCAAGAATTATGCATTTTTCTGCAAAGGTATATTTTAACATCATAGAATAATGGAAGCTCCGAGTTGGAAGGGACCTGAGAGGTCATCTTCTCCAACCTGCCTTGACCTGAGCCCGAATGCCTTCCACAGCATCCCTGGAAAATGTTCACTCAGTTGTCTCCTGAGGACCACCAGTGATAGGCCTACTCAGTACTTTCCAAGGTAGCCTTTTCCACTTTTGGAGAGCTCTTAATTATTCAAGATTTTCCTCGTATTGACCAAAATCACTTTCTTGGCTGTTCTCACTCCTTGCTACCTTCAGGGGTCAAGGAGCTAAAGTCTACTCGTGCTCTCGACGAACAGCTCTTCGATGCTTAGACAATTATCATCCCTCTCTTCTCTGTGCCCTTGCCAAGCAGGTTGAAAGGGCTTCAGGTGTAGGCCTAGCAATGGACTAAATGTCTGCCCTGTGAGGACCAGCCAGTTTTCAAGTGAGCTGACTGGCTTTTGGCCCTAACAATTGGAGAAACTCTTAGAGAGAATCAGCATGGTAGAGTGGGTAGAGAGGTGGGTGGGACTTAGGAAGCTTTGGCTTCAGGTCTTTCCTCAGTGACTTGTCAGCTGAGTGAGCCTGGACAAGTCATTTAGTCTCTTTGAGCCTCAGGTTGCTCATCTGTAAAATGGGGCCAATGAAGGCAGCCCTCCCACAGAGTGGATAATGTATAGAAAGGCACTTTGCAAAGTGTTTCTAGAGCATTTGAAGTGCTATGTGAATGTAAGCTGCTCTTAGTGTTCTGACTCCTCTTCTTCCTCCTCTTCCTCTTCTTCCTTCTCCTCCTTCTCCATCCCATTTTCCCTCCTCCGTTTTAAGATGCACATCCAGGCAGACTGCTAACTGCAAGTCCTTGAGGTAGTGATACAAACTGCTTTAATATTTAATTGCTCAAAAGCAACTATTTGAATGAGTAACTGAGTTTTTCCCATGACATATAGCTGATGGCTTAAGAAAGTAAGTATGTATCATATACTTTAAATGTATCCATTCACATTATTAAGAGCCCTCCAGTGTCTAGGTCATCTGACTGCCAAGTGTTTTTGTGGGGACTTTAAAAAACAGCTCATCACACTTGGGATATGTTAGGCTATTAAAAGTGGTAGTTCTGAGAACAGCTGCTTACATTTTTGTGTACCTGTGAAAAATCTGTGGGGGCCAGGAATTCCTTCACTCATTTGTTGAGGCCCTGTTAGTGTTGTGTAACTGAAAAGTTATTTTCAGCATTTTTCTGTCTTAAGGACACAGCTAATTTCCCATGTATTTTCTCCCAAAGCATATCCTTCTAAGTGTCTAATATAGGTTTGAATTTATAGTGAACTACATACCTTTCAGCACAAGAAAGTACAAACAGCCTAAGAGCATTCAAGGCCTGTGTGAGCTTTTAGCCAGTGATTCTGCCTCTGAAGCATTATGGTTTAATAACTAAGAAGTAATATCCAGTCACACCGTATCTGGGGGGAGGAGAGAGAAAGGGTGGCAGGGGGAAGGAGAGAGAGGGAAGGAGGGAGAGAGGGGAAAAGAGTGGGAGAGAAAAAATGAATGTGTTAGCTTTTCTGTGTAATGATGCTAAATAGTGGTTGTTGCTACGTGATAATTGTAGCCTAGTGGATGCTGAAAGACTGCTTGGCTGGCACATGGAAGAACGATTAGCCTTATTCTGCTCAGCCCCTAGTGGTACATCTAGGAGCAATGGGTAGAATTGGCAGAAAGGCAGAAAAATGATTGTTTTTTTTTAAAAAAAATTGTGTCAGTTACTGTCTTTTATCTTTTTTGAAGTCATTTCCTGCCTTCTGTCCCATTGTGTCCAGATTCAGGTTTTCAGTAAGGACAAACTTGGTATAAATGAGAGCTACCCCAAAGTGGCCTGGACAGCCTCAGGAGGTAGGGAGTCCCTCACCAGAGATCTTTAAGCTTAGGTCAGGTTACCCTTTGGTCGGTATGTTATAGACAGTATTCTTGTTGATTTCTCATCCACCTCTGAAATATCTTGATTGCAAGTGTGACTTTGGAGTCACATACCACAGTTGTGAAGAGCTGAACCAACCCATCCAGACTGTGACATAACAAAATAACATAAAGCCTAGAAAAGCATCTTATTTTTAACCCCCTGGCTTCTTGATATTTCTTTTGGAACTTGCCTAAAGTAGGCAAGTAATTGTAGCAGAGACAGAAGAGGACTCTGGAGAATTGTGTTTATCTCAGTACTAAATGATGTCAAATAAAAAACTGTGAAGGCACTACAAGAACTACAGAAACACAGCAACTGAGGATCATGACAAACCTCTGGAGCGTAAAAACAAGGTTAAGTGATTTTCAAGATAGTCTGAGCAGCCAGGGAAGGTGGTGTGTAGAATTTTAAGAGAGATATTTATAAAAAATGAAGAAAGTCATTTTTAGCCTTTTGAAGTTAACATAAGTTATCAATCAGTAAGCATTTGTTAAGTGCCTACTGTGTACCAGGCACCATGGATGCAAAGAAAAGAGACGAGACAGTCCCTACTTGCATTGCTTCCATTTGAACAAGATAGACAATAAAGACATTAAAGGTATCCTCTAAGCCTCAGTTATTTGGAAGTCTCATTCATGTGGAACAGTACCTCTACTTCCCCCAGAATCAGTCAATCAGTAAATGAATGTACATTATATGCTAGGCTCTGGAGGTATAGAAACCAAACAGTTACTGTCCTTGAGTATATGTTCCATATGAAGAGATGCATACGTACAAAATGCAAGGTAATTGGTGGATGGAGGGGGGTGGGGGAAAGCCTAGTAACATGAGGGAGAATCAGGAAAGGAAAGGCCTCACGTATGTAGAAAGTGCTGCTGGAGCTGAGTTTTGAAGGAAATAAAGGATTCTAAGAATCAAAAGTGAGGAGAAAATACATTCTGTGTGTGGGGTGCAGCTAGTACAATGATGTAAAATTTTCTGGGTGAGGAATAGCAAGAAGACTGGGTTAGACAAAAGAGTGTGAGAAAGGGATTAGTGTCTAATAGGGTTGGAAAGTTAGCTTGGAGCCAAGTGGTAAAGGGCTCGAAAAACCCAATAGAGGTGCTATAAGATATGATGAGTAGGATGATTTCAGAAAAACCTGGAAAGACTTATGTGAACTGATGCAAAGTAAAGTGAGCAGAATCGGTAGAACATTGTATACAGTACCGTGAACAACTGTGAATGCCCTAGCTATTCTTAGCAATACAGTGATCTAAGACAATCCCAGAGGACTAATGATGACGAATGCTATCGGCCTCCAGGGAAAGAACAGATGGCATCTGAATACAGACTGAAGCATATTGTTTTTTCACTTTCTTTCTTTCCTTCTTTCTTTATTTTTGGTTTGAGTTTTCTTCCATAAAATGACTAATATAGAAATATGTTTTATATGATATGCACATGGATAACCTGTATCAGATTGGTTAGCATCTCTGGGAGGTGGGGACAGGAGGAAGGGAAGGATAAAATTTGGAACTCAAAAAAAACCCCAAATGGTAAAAATTGTTTTTACATGTAATTAGGAAAAAAATAAAATATTTAAAAAAAAAGAAATACTCCAATAAAGGAATTTCTAAAGGTAGTAGGAAGTCTCTGGAGTTTGAGTTTGGGAATGGCATGGTCAACCTTGTGTTTTAGGAAGATCTCTTTAGTGGCCATGTGGAGGAAGGATTGGAGAGGGGGGAACAGAGTGTAGGCAGGAAGACCTGTAGTCCAGATAAGAGGTCCTGAACTCAGGTAGTGCCTGTTTTGTGTAGAGAGAAGGAAGAGGATGTGAGAGATGCTGGCGAGGTAGATAATTGATTCATTGGATAAGTAACAAGATAATGGATTGGATGTGGAAGTTAAATGAGAGTAAGGAATCGAAGAATCACGGAGGTTTTGAACTTGAGTGATTGAAAGGATGAGATGCTGTTGACAGAAGCAGGGACGTGGGAAGAGGAGTGGGTGTTTAGGGAAAGGATATTAAGTTCAATTTTGGACTTGCTGAATTTGAGATGCCTACGCGACATCCCCTTCAAAATGCCCGGTAGACAGTTCGTAATGCAAACTGGAGCTTAGGAGACAGCCTGGGGCTGGACATATAGATGTAGGAATCGTCTATATAGACATAGATGGTAGATGGTAGGGGGTTCTTTAACCCATGGGAGCTTGTGAGGTCCCTGAGAGAGAGTATAGGGAAAAGAGGTAAGGACTCAGGCCAGAGCCCTGGGGGACAACTACAGTCAGAGAGCACAGTATGGAGAATGATCCAGCAAAGGAAACTGAGGAGGAACACTCAGGTTAGGAGGAGAACCAGGAGAGAACAATATTATAAAAGCCTAGACAGGAGAGAGCATTTAGGAAGGAGAGGATGGTCAACAGTGTTCAATACTGCAGAGAGCTCGAGGGGTAATAATTAAGAAAAGACCATTGTATTTGGCGATTAAGAGGTCATTGGCAACTTTAGAGAGAGCACTTTCAGTTGAGTGGTGAGACTGGAAGTCAGATTGCAAAGGATAAAGGAAAGGATAAATCAAAGTTTCCATTTGGTTGCATAAAAACTGGCTCTCTGACCCTGGGCAAATCACTTAACCTCTGCCTCAGTTTCTTCAACTGTAAAAGGTGGTATAATAATAGCACTTCCCTTATTGAGGGGTTGTGAGGATCAAATGAGATAATATTTATAAATCCCTTAGCACAATGCCTGGCACATAGTAGGAGCTTAATAAATGCTTACTTTTTTCCCCTTCCCCTCCTTCTTAAAAGCCTTGGTAGAAATAAAATGAAAATATTTGCTGTGTGAATCCTTCATAGGAGCAATCCTACCTAGTGACTAAAAGGTTGCCTGGGGGAAGGTGGGTGCTTGAAGAAGCACTT